GAGCTTGCAGTGAGCTGAGATCCGGCCACTGCACTCTAGCCTGGGCGACAGAGCGAGACTCCATCTCAAAAAAAAGAAAAAGTCAGTGGGACAAGGGGAAGACGACTTCCAGAACCAGGAAGATGAGACAAACCAGACGGAGGGGATCACTGAGGAGTCCCGAAATCTCCCATCTGTAGGTCCAACCCTAGGTTCTTGGCCTCTGCTGTCCTCTGGGTGTCTCCTCTTGACAACCTCCAGGCCCCTTAGAGCCAGCAGGACCCAATCTAGGCTCAGCATGTCACCCCACACCTGCTTCTCTTCCCAGCTCACCATCACAGTAATAGCCCCACTGTCCCCTGTCCCTAAATGGGAGACCCAGGCATTGTCCTCACCTCCTTCTATCCTTTCACCCCCATGAGCTCATGGTTTTCAGATCTTATCCATTCTCCGTCTCCAATCTCTCCCCAACTGTCCCTTCCTCTCTCTCTCCAGGGCTCCCAGATTGTTACCTCCCTCCTAGACCCTACTCCTGGCCTGACCACCCCCATTTTTCCTCTGGCCTCCCTTCCATCTCCCACTTGGTCTGCCCACCTCCCCACTGGCTTCCCCATGTCCACACTCACTCCCTCCCTGCCTCTCCTGTCCATGCAGCCAAAGGCATCTGTGTCAAAAGCAACATGGCCACGGCCCTGCCTGCTCCAAACCCTCTCAGGGGTCCCCACTGCAACTGGTGGAAACCAGGCTCCTCACTGCACCCCATGAGGCCCTGCAGGTGTAGACCCTGACTACCTGTCTCTCCTCCTCTCCCACGGCCCCATCAATGAATCGTTCAGTTCTCAAAATAGTGAACTCCTCGCCTTCCCCAAACACACCAGGCATGCCCACAGCAAGAAACGAGCTTCCACCTTTTTCCCTGCCAGGGACAGCCCATGAAGCCCCTCTGCTCATCCCTCTTTCCACCCCCAGCTCCATACTGACTGCAGCAGCCCGGCAGGGGGAAGTGGGACCAGATGGACAGACGGGTGGACAGATGGGTGGATGGATGGATGGATGGACAAATGCATGTATGGATGCACAGATGCAAGGATGGATGGGTGGGTGGATGACCAGATGAATAGATGGATGGGTGGATGGATGGATGATGGACGGACAGATGCATGGATGGATAGATAGATGAGTGGATGGATGGATGGATGAATGGATAAACGGGGGGAACATATAAATGGATGGAAGGACGGACGTATGGACGGACAGACGCATGGATGTATTTATGGATGTATGGATGGATGGATGAGCGGATGGCCAAATAAATAGATGAATGAGTGGACAGATGGATGGGTGGAAGGATGGGGGAGCAGATGGATGAATGGATGGGTGGGTGGATGGGCGGACAGATGGATGAACGGATGGGTGGATGGATGGGGATTCAGATGGATGAGCGGAAGTGTGGATGGATAGATGGAAGGATGGATGGGTGGATGGACAGATGGGTGGATGGAAGGATGGACGTATGGACAGAGGGATGGGCAGATGAATGGTTAAAGCAGCCCGGTCGAAATGCGGGAGAAATGGGGGGGAGCCAAATCTCTGCAGAACTCACCGGCCCCTTCTTGACCTCGGCGGTCCTTAGCTTCCCCTCTGAACAAAGCGGGCGTGTGACCCGCTGCGCACCCCTAAACCGTGCACTCACCCACTCAGGCCTCAGTTTCCCCCACTGTCCAGCAGGGCTGGGGTCCCAGCCTGGGAGCCACGCGAACGCCCCCACAGTCCTCTCTTCTCCGCAGCCTCCTGCCGGGTACTCGACCGCGCCCCCTCCCGTAGGGCCCGGGTCACGTGACTCGAAGCCCACCTTCTCCCGGGGAGGAGCCAGGCCGCGGGGACCCAGCGCCGGAGCGTCGCCGGGCAACAGTCCCCGCCTGGTCTCCGCCTCCCAGCAGGGGCCCGGCACCGCCCCCTGGGTGGACGCCCCGCCTCCGAGTCGATCACGTGAGGGGGCCGCCGCTCTCGAACAATCCCGCCCTCGCGTTGCCGTGACAACCGCCTTCTAGGCACACTCTTCCTAGGTCCGGGCCCTTGGTTCCCCGCGCGGGCGCGGGTGGATCTCTTGGGTTCCGACTTCTTCTCGAGTCACCTTCAGGCTTCAGCCAGGCACCTAACGCCTCTTTCCCCTCACGCTGCCAGGACCGGGCCGGGCCGAACTACATTTTCCAGGAGGCTCCGCGGGCAGGTACAAATAGCGCCGTGCTGACTACATTTCCCAGACAGCCTTGCGGCGGCCCGGGCCTTAAAGCGTCCATTTCCCAGCGGCCCCTCGCTGCGGGACCGCAGCCTTTCGTTGGAGTCTCAGAGCCGTAAGAGACTACGACTCCCAGAGGACCTTGCGTCGGGCAAGAAAGACTACACCTCCCAGAGGCCTCTGCAGGGCCGCGACAGGAAGCGGCGGGCGAGTCGAGTGTCCTTGCGCGTGGATCCGAGCGACCATGGTGGCCCGGGTGTGGTCGCTGATGAGGTGCGTGAGGGAGCCGGAGGGGACCCGAGTCCCCGAAAAAGTCCCTTTTTGTGGGCACCCCTGTCTCCAGTCTGGTCCCGATCTGCTCTTCGCTTTCCGTAGGGTCACCTCCCCTTCGTCCCCCGCCTATGGGCTAGATAGGGAAACTGAGGCTCCAGCGGGGTGGGGCTTCCCGAGGTCGCCAGTCTCCTCCCTCCTGCCTCCCAGCGAGCCCTTGGCGTTCCACTCGCGGTGTCAGCCTCCGCCTCCGAGCCTCAGTTGTCTTCTCTGTGAAGTGGGAATGCCGGTGAATCCTGCCGCTGGCGTGGGTGGGAGGTGAATGCGTGCTTGGAGTGACAGCGGGCGGGAGGCACCCAGGAACACTTGGTTTCTCCAGGGCTGGAAGGCTTCTAGAATGTCAAGGATCTTACGTCTTCACTGCCCTCGCTCACTGTGGGACCTTGAGTGACCCACTCTCCCCCTCCGGGTTTCAGTTTATCAGTTAAAGTGGCGTCCAGCCGCCCTGCCTTGCACATTGTAAATCGAGTGCTGTATATAATGGGAGTCTGGGTCGACGGTGCTACACTACAGAGTGTCACCTGTGGACGGTGAGCCCCCAGGAGGGTCTCACTGTCTCCGTGGGCCTTTACCTCCTGAGCGTGGCGGTCAGTGTCCGCTGAGCTTCTGCTCCTCCCGTCCCTGCCCGCAGGTTCCTCATCAAGGGAAGTGTGGCTGGGGGCGCCGTCTACCTGGTGTACGACCAGGAGCTGCTGGGGCCCAGCGACAAGAGCCAGGCAGCCCTACAGAAGGCTGGAGAGGTGGTCCCCCCCGCCGTGTACCAGTTCAGCCAGTACGTGTGTCAGCAGACGGGCCTGCAGATACCCCAGGTACTCCGGGCTGGGAGCGAGGTCAGGGTTTGGCGGGTGGTGAGCTCTTGGGGGGTTCCTCCAGCCCTGCATGATGTTGTTCTCCATATTTATGCTGGCCTGATTCTCAGGCCTGTCCTCCTCCCTCCGCTTCTGGGGATGGGCTGCTGAGCCTTTTCACCACTTCTTTCTGCTCATCTCTTTTCCCAGCTCCCAGCCCCTCCAAAGATTTACTTTCCCGTCCGTGACTCCTGGAATGCAGGTAAGGCAACCAGTTTCTTTACTCGGGAGGTTGCTGCAGACACCCCAGTCTAGCCCCTCTCCCCACTTCCTGGCCATTCCTTTCTGTCCATCCCCCTTCCTGCCCAACATGTGTCTCTTAGGGATCTAAAAGGGAAAGGAGGCCTAGCATGGTGGCTCACCCCTGTAATCCCAGCACTTTGGGAGGCCGAGGTGGGTGGATCATCTGAAGTCAGGAGTTCGAAACCATTCTGGCCAACATGGTGAAACCCCGTCTCTACTACAAATACAAAAATTAGCTGGGTGTGGTGGCGCATGCCTGTAGTCCCAACTGCTCGCCAGGCTGAGGCAGGAGAATCGCTTGAACCCAGGAGGTGGAGATTGCAGTGAGCAGAGGTGCCGCCACTGCACTCCAGCCTCGGTGACAGAGCAAGACTCTGTCTCAAAAATAAATAAATAAATAAATACAAGGGAAAAGAGTGGAGATTCTAGCGAAGGGGATTGGGGGGAGCCTTTGAGGGCTGGGTTGTACAACGCCTGGTAGAATGAGAGGCAGGAGGCCTGGGCCCACATCGGAGCTTGTCCTATGAGCTTGGACAAGGGAAGGCCCTGCCCCACCTCTGCCTCAGTTTCTGCTGGAAGTTGTTCTAAAAAAATTTTGCTTGCTGGGTGTGGTGGCTCATGGCTACCAGCACTTTTGGAATCCAAGGCAGAAGGATTGCTTGAAGCCAGGAGTTTGAGAACAGCCTGGGCAATATAATGAGACCCTCTCTCTACCAAAAAAAAAAAAAAAAAAAAAAAAAGTCTTTTTAAATTAGCTGGGCATGGTGGTGTGTGCCTGTAATCTCAGCTACTTGGGAGGTTTAGGCAGGAGGATGGCTTGAGCCCTGGAGTTCAAGGCTGCAGTGAGCTATGATCACACCACCGTACTCCAGCTTGGGCAACAGAGGGAAACCCTGTCTCTAAAAAACAAAACAAAGCCAGGTGCGGTGACTCACGCCTGTAATCCTAGAACTTTGGGAGGCTGAGGCAGGCAGATCACAAGGTCAGAAGTTCAAGACCAGCCTGGCCAACATAGTGAAACCCCATCTCTACTAAAAATACAAAAATTAGGCTGGGTGCAGTGGCTCACACCTGTAATCCCAGCACTTTGGGAAGCCGAGGCGGGCAGATCATCTGAAGTCAGGAGTTCAAGACCAGCCTGGGCAACATGGTGAAACCCCATCTCTACTAAAAATACAAAAATTAGCCAGGCTTGGTGGTGCACGCCTGTAATCCCAAATGCTACTTGGGAGGCTGAGGCAGGAGAATTGCTTGAACTCAGGAGGCGGAGGTTGCAGTGAGCTGAGGTTGCACCACTGCACTCCAGCCTGGGTGACAAGGTAAGACTCCATCTCCAAAAAAAAAAAAAAAAAATTAGCCCGGTATGGTGGTGCACTTGTAGTCCCAGCTACTTGGGAGGCTGAGGCAGGAGAATCACTTGAACCCGGGAGGTGAAGGTTGCAGTGAGCCAAGATCGCACTACTGCACTCCAGCCTAGGCGACAGAGTGAGACTCTGTCCCCTGTCCCCCTGCCCACCACCCAAAAAAAAAGCCTCTTAGAGTTTCCCAGGGGTTGGAGGCTGGGTGAGGCTGGGAGGGGAGCATCACCAGTGGCCGTCCCTTTCCCACAGGCATCATGACGGTGATGTCAGCTCTGTCGGTGGCCCCCTCCAAGGCCCGCGAGTACTCCAAGGAGGGCTGGGAGTATGTGAAGGCACGCACCAAGTAGCGAGTCAGCAGGGGCCGCCTGCCCGGGCCAGAATGGGCAGTGCTGCTACTGACCTGAAGACTCCAGACTGGGACCCCACTACGAGGGCAGCTCCCGGCCTTGCCGGCCCAATAAAGGACTTCGGAAGTGTTCCCTGACCCGTGTGCTGGCCCCAAGGGGCACAGGGTCGGCCTGGTGGTGCCCAGAGCACCAAAGCCTGGGCTTCTGGCTCCTGATGGCTTGTCAGGGCTTGATCTTGACCACAGGCCATAGGTCTCCCCTTTGTCGTCTGCTCTGGTGCGGGGAGTCAGAGGTCACAGCGGTTGCTCCCGGTGCTCCACAGGCCATGCTCTGGGGCCAGGAAAGTGCTTTGGCCAAGCCTGGGTTGTGGAGGGTCTTGATTTTGGAGGGCTGAGACCACGGTAGGACAGTGGGAGAGCCAGAGTGGACAGAAGTGGGGTCTGCTTCCCTGCAGGACACAGGGCAGGAGCCCCCGGGGCCACTGGTTCCCGCCCTCCTCAGCTCCTATCCGCAGTCCTGTCCCGGCCCTTTGTTGGCTGGACTCCACCCTCATTCCACCCTCTCCTCGACAACCCTATAGGGATTCCTGGCCGTTGAAGGAAATCCAGGTGTTTGTTGCCATTCAGAGGGTCTCCCGGACATCCCCTCTCTCCTGGGACGCCTTCCCTGACACCCCTGCCACACGCTGGCCGAGCTACCTGGCAGCCTGCACAGGTCCCCCGCATCAGGCATGAGCCCTGGGAAGCTGGGCCTGTCGAGGGGCTCCCTGAGAGGCTCCCAGCATCCAGCCACAGAGGGCGGTCCACAGGGTTGGCGATGGCAAGAGGCCTGGGCCCAGAAACCAGTCTGGTGGCTCCAGGCAGATGGGGGTCTGGCGGTGGGGGGCTTGCGTGGGGCCGGAGGCCTCCATAGGATGCTGCCCTGAGGGCAGGGAGCAGACAGGTGATGCTCACTAAGGTGGAACAGGGTCCCCGTTCCCACGAGTTCAGGGGTTTATGTTGCTTGGTGTAGGGGACTGAGCTCAGGAGGGGACAGCTGTACAGAGGAGAGGAGCAGGACTAGAGGCCGGGGCATCTCCCCCGCTGTCCCACTCAGAGAGGAGAAGCCCCTGGGCTGAGCAGGGCGTAGGGGTGTGGCTGGGATCAGCGGCCTAATCTGGTAGAAGGGGAGCCCACAGGGCCTACCCACCCCCTTCCCCCGAGGAGCATGGTCCCGGGGCAGGTCCCCTACATCCGCTGTACCCCTGCCCTTACTGGGCCTTAGCAGTGGTCGGGGCAGGTCTAGGGTGAGGGAGGGATGAGCAGAGCAGGGGAGCATCCCTGACCCTCGGTGCTGCAGGAGGAAGCCGGTGCTCACCGTCCTGGCCAGCAGCACCCAAGCACCCACCGCCTCCTGCCACCGTCCACCAAGCCCTTCCTGAAGGCCCAGGAAGGAGCAGGCTTCAGGCCCATTTTACAGATGAAGAAACTTGCACCGACAGTTCTGTCTGCCCAGCCTGTCTGGAGCCCAGGCTGTTCACAAACCCTCACTGGGGATGCAGAATTTCCCGTTGCCTCGCACCCAGGCACGCAGCCCCAGCCTGTGAGGACAGGAGGGGTTTGCTGTCAGTGCTATGATGCCATGGCTGGGCCAGGGGGTGTCCGCCCACTCCAGGAGGCCTCTGCAGCCTCACACCTGTTACCAGTACTGTTAGAGGGGAAGGACTGGACAATGCCAGTGAGCAGCTGCCTTCTGGGCCGCTCACCTCCATCCAGGCGGCTGGGTCCTGCAGCTCCACGAATGTGACTTAGTTCTTCCCTGGGGTCACTCATGGGCTTTATCCCATGAGTCCGTCCTC